GTTTGATATTTTTTATAGAAGCTTTTCTGCAAAACTCTCAATAAATTCATACAGTTAAGTTGTTTTTTATAGTGGAAATAGGCAAACACATTTTTAAACCTGTTATTTGCTCAATTGATACTTAATGCAAATGGAAATCATTTGATCGTACAAAGGTCATATATGTATAAATGACTCCCATTATATATGAAAACATAACAGAAATATAAAAGCGAATCAAAAATTTTAATTTTATCCTTTCAAAACAATATTTCCAAAAATAAAAAAAAAATATCGAAGTTTATTTGAGAAACAAATGAAAATATTTACTTGAGATAAAACAAATAAAAAAAACTTAAAAAAAAATTAAAAAAAATTTTATATTCAATATAAAAAGTATCAAAAAATACTTATAAAAATAATTTAATTTGATACATTTTTTCATTATTATATATCTTTTTGTATAAAATATGTAGATTATCTATGTTTCACCCTGAACTTTTTTCTTAGTTTAAAGAAGTGTCTTATTTAAAAAATTTTTATTTGTATATATATATATATATATATATATATATATATATATATATATATATATATATATATATATATATATATATATATATATAATCAATACAAGAAGTCTTGTGTAATTGTATATAACTATTAAATGTAAAATATAAGTAAAACAATAAAATTATTGTACTCACTTAAACATGACTTATTACAATGATTGATTGAATTGAAAGTAATATTTGTACGACATTAAGATGCTTATTTCATATTTTAAAAAAAACGCAATTAAAAAATAGTTGTTAGAGGAACCTCTTTGTAAAACATTTTTTGAAACTAAATATTTTTATAAACTTTTTCATAATTCTTTGAAAATATTTAATTAATAACGTTTGCACGCATCTAAATTTATGTTGTATTTAAGTCAAATTTGACTTTTTTTACCTTAAGGTTTATTTAAAAATGGCTACAGTATTATAAAATAGTATTGTAAAATAAAAGCAATTAATTAATGTACTAAGTCAAGTATGAGTACAACAACACTTGTTGAGTCAGAAGAAGCAGCTAGATATAAAAATACAATAATAATACTGTAACCTTCATGTACCCTCACATGCCAAGTCACAACACTTTAAAGCCATCGAAACAATATAATCACTTATACATAGCACACATTGAAGCACTTTATATATTACAGGTATTTACACATTTATGACACAGAATTTATGATTGCATCAAATTAACTAATATAATATTTAAGCTCAGATAACTGATTTAACAGATATTACAGATATTAATAGAGATAATAAAGATTTGAGAATTCCTTTTCATGTGGTCAAAAATAATTTATGGTCAACCGTAACAAATCTTTTTCCAAATCTCAGAGTCAAAGACACACGAATGGGTAACAGCATTAAAATCAACATTAATTATATAGGGCTAATTTGTATTAAGGACTAAAAGTTTGTCTAATAGCAAAACTATAACTATAATGCAGGAACGTCACTCCAGTTAATTGTGCCATCATCATCTTTTTCCTCTACTTCTGCCATATTTTGCAATGCAGAAGCAAATGAGTTTTTTTGATTATTTAAAGTTTATAAGAGATGTATTAACTCATATATACAACCATAATTACCAGGTTGCTCTATTCTAAATAACACTGCTACATTAGGATCATATATATTTAACTGACAATACGTGGGTAAAATACTTTTTCAGGCCTTAAATTTCCAGGACGATGCAATATTTGCCCATAAACCCAAAAATAGAAATGGCAATTATTCTAGATATGAGGTATTTTGGCTGTGAATGACACAAAAGATAAAAGGGAATTAGAAGATCTATCCTGATATCTTTTATTTCTACGGCAGTTTATTTCACCTCAACAAGGCTTGCCTCGTTCATTTCAACTACAATTTATCTCGACGACGGTTAAATTCATTTTGCATAGCTTGGTTACTTTATTTTCAACAAAGCCTTATAACTTTACTTCTTTAATTTTCAGACATAACTAAGCATTAAATGAATGTGTAAAAATGATGCTAATTATAATAAAAGTTGCTTTTTTATTTCAAGATCAAAAATTTTTTTTTTTTTTTTATGCTACCTAAAATAAAGTGTACGCAAATAAAACAGAGTATAATATAATAATCTAATTATATTCTACCTCTACTGTTAGTCATATTTAAATGAAATGTTTTGAAACAATATTGCAATATGTTTAAAAAGATAACATAATTCTTTCGAGAATTTAAATTAAAGTTATAAAAAAATAATATAATCTTTACAATTGAGTACCCAGCAGGCACAATGACGTTGAAATAACGTTAAAACAATGTCGTAAACCGACCATATGCCACGTTGAAACAACGTTGAAGTTTGGTTGAATTGGAAATAAAATCCGACGTCGAAAACTACGACGTTGAAACAACGTCAATGATTTCGTTGTTTCAACGTTTATCTAACGTCTTATCGACTACATATCAACCATTTTTCAACTTTGAATATTTGATATATTCGGTTGATACGTAGTTGATACGATACACTTAACTTACAAGTAAATACCTAATGTTTGTTCCTTTAAACTTCTCTTTACCTTTACCGCCAGCCATATTAAATTTTGATTATAAACCATTGGTCAACAACCTGCATTTACATTGCTATTATTATTATAGTAACATTAAAAATTGATAAACATGTTTATCAATTTTTTACAAAATACAAATTATTTTTAATGAAAAATTGCACAAAGGTATCTTACCAAAGGTTTCTTACCAAACGCAAAAAGTTTCTTACCAAAACGTAATGCAAGTAAGAAAAGGAATTGATACAGGGGAAGAGTTTGGTCCAAGAAGACCACCTTCTAAACGCCAGAAAACACCAAGAGCGGACAGTATAATCAGAAATACCTGCCTGGAAAACAGAAAAAAAGCCAATAAACTTATTGACTAAACTTATCCATGAAACTGTAATTGTTGTGTCAGACCGGATCATTTGTATAAGGCTAAAAGAAGAGGGATTGATGTCCAGCCAAAAATGTCAAAAAAATTCAGAAATATTAAAACAAATGTCAAAAATCTTATATTTATGCAAGGTAGTGCAACTTGCCACACAATAAACACTGTATATACTGTATATAACTGTATATATATATATATATATATATATATATATATATATATATATATATATATATATATATATATATATATATATATATAATATATATATATATATATATGTATAACCAGACAACACGCATGATTTAACCCCATAGAAAACATTTTGGGAAATAGTAAAGCAAGAAATTGGAAAAAAAAATCTTACTAATAAGCAAGATTGTATGGAAGAGATTATTAAGATCTAGCACAATAACCCAGAGTTGACAGAAACTATAAAAAATAAATTGCAAGCATGCCACAATGTGTTGAAGCAGTTATTGCAAATAAAAGTGTTTTTGCAAAATATTTATACTTTATATATATTTTATATAATTTATAATAATAATCAATAAATATTCAAAATGTTCAATTTTATTTGTTTATTTTTATCAAGTACAACTTTATAAATAAAAGAAAAAACTTTAAATTGTGCCATTATTTTATATATTAAAATAATGGTACAATTTACAACCTTAAAGTACAACCTTTGTACTTTAAGATTGTTCTTTAGCTCAAGGAAATACAAAAGTAAGAGAAAACAGTTTCAAAAAAAATTCTAATCAGACATAAAAAAAAAAAAAGAATTATTTTATGTATTATTTGTCAAACTTTTAAAAATACATGCTAATTATATTTTTGACACAAGTTTAAAACAAACTATAATAAAAAGATTCAAAAGATTTTTTATTTAAAACTACTTTTAACAAACCTTTGCATCACATTTCTTGTATTTGTCTTAATGGTTTTACCTCCAATTTTAGAAAGTTAGTTAACCTAAAGGTTTAAGAAAATAATAACACCACATTATTTTTATAGTACATTTATAAAAAGTTACAAGTAGATTAACTTAGGCTAAGTTATTATTAAATACTTAATCAAAAAACAATAAAAAAACTGCAAAAAGTTATGGTTTGAAACAAACCATCACTCCAGACCTCATCGAAGAATCATTTAAACTGTTATCATAATCACTAAATTACTGCTGCAAGTTCATCCATAGAATTTCAAAACTATTATTCATGATATTACTTTAATTATTGGAAAGAGCTTTTACTAATATCTCCTTCTAACAACAAAAATATATCGGAAAGACAAAAGAACCAAACATTAATTAATTTCTAAAAGCGTTGAAACACAAGAAAAAAACATTTATAAAATAAAACATTATTCATAAATTAAATTAAATGTATTAATTTAGCAGTCAATAAAATGTGTAAATCACTGAAGCATAGAAAAAAATGTTCAGAATCTTTTCTTCCTAAATCAACTTGCAGACAGACAATACCTTGAGCTACAGTATGTGGAGTATGCATAAAAATTGTTTTCTGTTTCTTTTTTTGCGTTACAGGTACTTGCTTGCTACTCTGTTGGTTTATATGTTTTCTCTTGCATAAGCATGGTAGTGCTTCCTATAAAAGTTAATACCAAAATAAAACTAATAATACTTGAATTAAATATCTTTTAAAATAGTTACCGTTTCTGAATAAGAATCTGAGTATCACTAGTAGTGGCAAATTCAAATTTATCACATCCCTGTGTTAAAGCCGATGTCGGACCGAGCTCGGCTGCCGATATCGGACCGACGGCGTTTTTGTCCATACGGACCGAGGTCGGCCCGACATCGGCTAGCCGCTCAAACTATTGCAATGCATCGGCCGGCCGATGTTAAGCCGACGCGATTCCAAACAAATCATCGGCTGGCCGATCTCAGCCCGATGCGATTTTGTATGGAAAAAAACAAAGGGGTTCAAAAACTCTGCTAGCCGATGCAAATCTTAACACACTTATTCAAATCGGAAAAAAGGGAAAATAGTATTAAGCAACTAAAGTATATGTAAAACACATATA